CCCCCCCTCATGGACTGCCCCCTTCCTCATCCCCCCCCCGGCTGTAATTACGCGGGATTTGTACTGTACATAGACGAGTGCGCGTCCCCCCACCTTGTACAGAGACCTCCCCTGCTTCCCCTTCCCCCACCCCCCCTCCAGCTCTCGGGGTTATTTTATGTCACATTTCTTTTTCCCTCCTCTTTTTTTTCCTGGAGTGTGTGGTGACAACAGAAGAAAACGTTTAATAAAAGCAGTTGGTCTTTTACGCCGCGTCTCTTCTCGGGCGGGCGGGGGGGGTCGGGGGGCCGCACGGGGGGGGGCGGCTGCTTCTCCCCCTCCTCTCCCGCCGCAGGGAACGGGGAGAAGCCCAGCGCGGAGGGAGGAAGAGGAGACGGTCGTGTGGAAGCGGACCCGGGTCAGACTGACGGGACGAGGGAAGACCACGTGGCTGGGCGCTCCAGCCAATCAGGGCAAAGGCCCGAACCCCCGTGGCTGGGTATACATAGTGAGGGGAAAACAAAACACACACACACACACACACCGCTCCCGGCCGCGAGCAGCCAATCGGGGAGCAGATCTACATCCGGGTCCAACTCGTCGTCAAACCCCTCCCGGCTCCCCGTCTTCGATGACGCCACGGGGCGGCCAACGCCATTCGAAGCTCCGCCCCCTCCTGATTGGGTCTGGAAAGGCGGGAGGTCTGGCAGCAGCAGCGGCCTCTTTCCGGCGGCTCCTAATTGGGCGGGGCCGCTTCCGAAGGCGGCCGCTCTTCCGGTTTCCCCCGTTGCTGCTCCTCTTCCTCCTCCTTTCCCGCGCGTGCGCAGAGGGTGCCCCCAGTTCCCGGGGAGGCTCGCCTGGGCTTTTCCCGCGGCGGCGGCGGCGGCGGCAGCAGCGGCGGCCATGGAGGCGGCGGCGGCGGGCGCGCGCAGCGTGCAGATCGAGTTCCCGCACTACGCGGCGGGGCTGCTGGAGTCGCTGAACCGGCACCGGCTGGAGGGCAAGTTCTGCGACCTGTCGGTGCACGTGCAGGGCCGCGTCTTCCAGGCGCACAAGAGCGTCCTGGCCGCCGCCTCGCCCTACTTCCACGACAAGCTGCTGCTCCGCGACGCCGGCCGCCTCGTCCTGCCCGGCGCCATCGAGCCCGAGGCCTTCGAGAACCTGCTGCAGCTCATCTACTCGGGGCGGCTGCGGCTGCTGCTCGACGCCCTCCCGGGGCACCTGCTGGCGGCCAGCGGGCTGCAGATGTGGCAGGTGGTGGACCAGTGCTCGGGCGTCCTCAAGGAGCTGGAGGCGGCCGGGGGGCCCCTCGCCTACGCCCGCGGCCCCTGGACCCCCCGCGCCGCCGCCGCCGCCGCCGAGACCCCCAGCAGCAGCAGCCACCGCCCGGGCCTCCGGGAGGACGGAGGAGGAGGAGGAGGGTCCGCCCGCCGCCCGCACCGCCTGGAGGAGGAGGAGGTGGTGAAGATCCGGGTGTCCCAGGAGGAAGAAGAGGAGGAGGAAGAAGAGGAGGAGGAGGAAGAGGAGGAGCGGCAGGCCCAGATCTGCACCAGCGGCTCGGCTGACCGGCTGGTGAAGGTGGTTTTGGACGAGGAGGAGGAGGAGGTGGTGGTGGCGGAGGAAGAGGACCGCCGCGGCAGGGCCCGTCCTGGCAAAGGGTCCAGGGAGCCGGGCCCGGCCTTCGCTTCGCCCCACGAGGCCCCCAAGGTCTTCTTCATCAAGCAGGAGCGCTTTGACCCCGAGGAGGCCCCTTCCTCCGCTCTGGGGGGCGGCCCGGCCTCCTGCCTCTCCGAGGCCGGCTTCCTGAAGTCCCCCGGCGTGACTGAGGTGCCGGGCCTCTGCCAGCCGGAGATCCAGGCCGGGGAGCCGCTCGGCTACCTCCCGCTGCCCGGCGGGGCGTCCACGGCTCTTTCCGCCGACTCCGTGGCAGCTTTCCCCGAGAGCTCGTGGAAGCCCGTGGACCTGCACGGCAACGAGATCCTGGGCCACACCGTGCACGGCCAGGTGGTGCACGCGCCCGTCAAGCTGATGTCCGCGCCGGACGGGAAGAAGTTCGGCTGCCTGTGCGGGAAGCGCTTCGCCGTGAAGCCCAAGCGGGACCGGCACATCATGCTGACCTTCAGCCTGAGGCCCTTCGGCTGCTCCGTCTGCCCCAAGAAGTTCAAGCTGAAGCACCACCTGACGGAGCACATGAAGACCCACGACGGGAACCTGCACACCTGCCAGGACTGCGGACGCAAGTTCCGCGTCCAGAGCTGCTTCTTGAAGCACAAGGAGCTCTGCAAGGGACAGGGCTGGGCCACCGCCTGCTGGACCTACAAGTAGGGGGGAGGGGCTGCTGCTGCCAGAAGCAGAACACCATCCAAGGGGGGGGGGGGGGGTGGGATACGGAAGCAGATTTTCCCATCCCCCTCCTCTGCCAATGACCCCCCCCCTTCCACCCCCAAAAGCTCCACGTGGGCTAGGAATTGCTCGGATGGAAATGCTGCTACTCTGTGGGCTGCTCCTGCTGCAGCGGTCAAGAGGCCAAATCTCTTCTGCAGGGCAGGCCCTCTTGGCAGGAGGAGTGGAGCCGAGTCCTCCTGGGGCCTCAACGTGAAGGGCCTTCTTCTCTTGGGGGGGGGAGTTGGGACCCCTTGAGGGGCTGCTGGTGCTTAGCGAACAGAGCCTGTGCTTGGGGAGGGGCTTCCAGGAACAGCCGGGGGTTGTGCTGGCCAGCCAAACGGCTGGGGGGCTTCAGCGGCTGGGAAGGCCGCCTCCTGGGGTCCCTGGGGCCCACCACCCGACGGGGGAGAGAGAGGAGCGAAGGGGGGCCAGGAGGGGGCCCTCCAGGCATGGGATGGAGGACGGGGTGGGGGAGGGGCGGGGTGGGTGTGGGGGGCACCTCAGCCTGGAAGCCAGAAATATCCCTGGAAGGTCAGAAGATAAACAGGTAATCAGAGTTGGGACGGACCCTGTAGGTCATCTAGTCCAACTCCCCCCGCCCAAGCGGGAGACCCTACACCATTTCTGACCGATGGCAGTCCAAACCTCCAGGGATGAAGCTCCCACAACTTCCAAAGGCCACTTCTGTTCCATCGGTTGATTGTTCTCACGGTCAGAAAGTTTCTCCTTATTTCCAGGTTGTATCTCCCTTTGATCAGTTTCCATCCATGATTCCTTGTCTGGCCTTCAGGTACCTTGGAAAATAGCTTGGCCCCTTCCTCCTCCTCTCTGGGGCAGCCCCTCAAATCTTGGAAGGCTGCTCTCCTGTCTCCCCCGGTCCTTCTCTTCTTCCCTAGACTAGCCAGGCCCGGTTCCTGTAACCGTTCTTCATATGTCTTAGTCTCCAGTCCCCTCCTCATCCTGGAAACGAAGCCCCATTCTAGGAAAGGGTGAGGTGCCCAGGAACACGCGGGGAAACGAACGGCAGGACGCCGGGAGCGAAAGGGTGGAATTGTAAACCACCCCAGTGGAATTGCTCCGCATGTAAGAGCCGGCCGAGTGCAGCGGCCGAAGGGGCGGCCGAGGCCTCCCGCGAAATACAATTTCCAAGTTGCAAAGAATTCTTCCCGTCCACTGTTGATTTTTGAGCGCTGAGAACGACTGAGACAAGTGAAGAGCTGGGAAACGTTTGGCCGCGCGTGAGTGTGGACTGGATGGCCTCAAGGGTCCCTTCGGGCACTAGGGTTTTGTGGACCATGTGGGGGCTGGGCTGGAGGTGCCTGTTCTGCTCAGCTCTGCAAAGGAGGGAGGGGAGACCCTCCCCCCTTCCATTCTGAGCCCAGGTGAGTCCAAATGGGGGTTGAGTGAAGGTGGGCACAGCCCATTCTCAAGGGAGGGGCTCCCGGCCCCTGCGGACCCACCCAGGAGTCACCGCTGCCCCCCCCCCCGCCGCCCCCTGAACCCCCCGAAAGGGCCCCGGGGGGGGGGCGGTCAGCAAGAGGCCCCCCCCCCCCCCCGGGAGGCCTGGGCTTCCTGGCTGCCTCCAGGGCCTCCTTCCCGGGTGGGCCGCAGTTTCTGAGGGAGAGCCAGCACCGCAGGGCCCTTGGCTGGGCTGTGGGGGCTCTGGGCCAGGGGCAGCTTGGGAGCCCCCCAATGCTCTCATTTCTGATGGCAGCTTCTTCGCCTCCGTTTCCCAGGCAGGCCATTTTTCTCTGGCACTGGAAGGACTTTGGTTTCAATTCAGAGGCCGTTGGGTTTTCTGACACCACTTCATTCTGGGACTGGGCCGAGGCGGCTTCCCTTGGGGGCGGGGGGGAAGGTTGGCACACTGGGGCTTTCCAGGGACTGGCAGGGCTCTGCGGTGGGACGCGCTCAGCTGGGCCCAAAGGGGGAGGGTCTGGGGGGCCACTGGGGATGCCCGGTGGAGCAGTCATCCCGAGGGGAGCCGAGCCCCATCCGGGGAGGGGGCTTCATCTGCTCCCTCTGGGAATGCAGCCAGCATCAAACTCTCTCTGTGTGTGTGTGTGCCAGGGCTGAGGCAGGTGGGGCAAGGGGGGGGGGGGAAAGACCCTCCTGGAGGCAGCTCAGCTGGGGTGACTGGGTCAGGGCCCACAACTGGGCAGCTTCGTAAGCCGGGCAGTTCTTGCCAATCCAT